CAGCCATCTGAGGAGTGGCCAGTGAAGTTATCACTAGGCTGTAATGTAAACACTGCATTTTCTCTGAATAGACAGTGTTTACAGCAAAAAGCCAGAAGTGAATGATTCTACTCACCAGAACAAATTCAATAGCCGTAGTTGTTCTGGTGACTATAGTGTCCCTTCAATATAATGTAATTCATTTCTGTATATGTAATAATGTGATCATTTTGTATTTACTATCTGATCAAAAATGCTATTTAGGCAACAACCCTTAGAAGCAGACTTCGTGATGATGAACATTTTCTATTCCATGAAAAATACTCTTGAGATGTGAATCCCTCTGGGTGGTTTAACTTGGTATATGAATTGCTAAGGACAATTTGAGACTGGAGACACACAATAATTGAATATACTAGCTTTACTGTACTTATAATCTTAATTTTAATAATGACAGGAGGAGAGTATTTTGCATTTTCTCTCTCTACTAGCTCCACAGCAACAAAAACATTTAGAAAAAAAAGAACCAATCACAAGAGAATAGGATGTACATGAGGTGTAGTCATTAGGGGTTTCTTCTTTCAGTGGAAGACTTAAAGCAGAGCAAACATATAACAATAACTCCGAAATCCAACATTCGAAGGAGCAAACTTCCCGTGAATTCCACACAAACAACCAAAACGTCTTCAGGGACAAATTAAACTGAAACAGGGTTTAAACAAATCGTCATGAACATGGAAATCCAAGTTACACACAGTATGCATGACTTCATAGTAGTAATGTGTAAATTACAATCACATAAAACTCCAATGACAATTCAAACCAATGGAAATAAAATGATCCATTTAAATACAAAACATTAAGAGCCCAACCTACCTTAGACCTACGAGACATATAAAAAAAAAAACAAGCAGGAGCCTAATCCACATAATATCTCCGCCATCCCGCAGCATGGGGAATTAAAAAAAACAAAAAAAACAATTCTACTCACACTAAGGATCCAAAAAAACACTTCTGGATCTCGATATCAACCCTTAAACAAATTCTTCACGGAGAAATGTGATGGAGATCCGGAGGCCTCCAGATCCAGTATGGCGTCCCGCATGGACTCGCCGTTGGCATCACAAGCCAGCTTTTGCCTATCGGAGGCATCTGTGACACCAGACACCGATGTCAAGTAGATCTTGCTCAACTTACAGTCCAGGGACGACATCGCTAAGATGTTCACTGATCTCGATACAAACTAAGATATCTATCCTGGAGTGCCCACGGGACACTGGCATTAAAATAGACAGGGCACACAGGGCATTGAAACCTAAGGGCAGATCTGATGATTTTCTACGCAACATCACATGTTGCCTACGTGACTTTACGCTCAAGGAAGCAATAATGAAAAGAGCTAGAAGCACACCAGCCCTAGGCTTCCAAGAAAGACTGGTCCAGCTATATCAGGACCTATCCTGGATTACAATACAAGGCAGAAGTGCCCTTGTTACGGTTGCCCCAGGCTAGCTGAGGGTTGGACCGTAGAAAGGATGGTCCTAGTGCTCACCAAGGACCATCAGCACCGCACCAGACACCATAACCGCCGCAGCTTGGTTGGGGTCTCGCCGTCTCCTACCCTTCATGGACCTATGACAAGGCTCCATGTTCCAGTGGGTGAACTTCTCTTTCCCCAGAGAGTGAAGCAGGAACAGGAACAAGCTCTTACAAGAGCTTAGTAGCTAAGGCAGTATGCAGAGCATAGCAATCCCTGTAGTGATTATAGTTGTCTCCTCCAAACACGAGTCAAGGCTGCGAGTTGAGGGTCAAGTAGAACTGGTTTAATGAGCACAAAGGCATTTCTTATATACTGTTTTCCCCAAAAGGTTACCACCCACGTGGACCTTGTGGAGCACAGGACACAACGTCACAACAGCCAATCAACACAGTATTGTACAGTCAGACACTTCCAGCTAATATACACAAACCCTCCCCTCTGCCTGTGATATAATTACCAAACACAATGGACTAACTCAATTACCACAGGCAGAAAATATCAAAGTCCAGAAACACCCCAAAACAACAACAACATATCCCACAACATATCCTACATCCCTGGATAGCCCTGATCTGGGTAAACAACATATCCAAAAATCCCCCAGATCAGAGCAGGGGTTTAAAAGTTTTATGGAAGTCACATTTGACTGACCGCAAGCATGGCTTTCATGCCCAAAACAGTTCCACAGATTTAGGCTGTGCGGCCGGTCTATCTTCTCCTCTATCCTGGAGATAATTGGCTTAAGTGGCTGGGGTAACCCAATTATCTCCAGTAACAGGAAATATCTCTAAGTCAAAAACGGTTACAAAAACCACATAAAGATACAAAACTCTTATAATACAATGTTTAACCTATATGTCCAACATATCCCCAGATAGCTTGGATCTGAGCGCTCAATATGTCAGAAAAGCGCTCAGATCTCACAAATACAGTTGGATCGCCATGGGGTTAAACAATAGCAAGGGCTGACGAGCAGCCAGTTTCAATGGTCTGGCAGTGTCCCTGGGACAACACCCTGTGGCGAAAGTGACCTCGCCACTGGTTTTTGGAGGGTCCTGTTTGCCAGCCTCCTGCCCTGCGACTATGGTCC